GACCTGATCCAGTCGTGGGTCATGCTAACTGGTCCTGACCTCTCACCTTTTAGCCAAGGGAGGCTAATGATAGTGGACCTGTAACTGGAGCTGTTACATCCGAGTCAGTTCTCAGCAGGGTGTAAGGCTGAACACACACAAACACACACACACACAGACACACACACACACACACTTGCACACAGTCACACATATCTTCCAGTGCAAAGGTTGAGGGCAGACCGTGAAGTCTCGTGTCTCTCTGATCTAGAGGGGAAACCCACATCTGAGCCTGGTTTTTCGCTGGATAACTCTGAAGCCAAATCTGCCTGGGGACCTGACATTATGCCCGAGCCACTTAAACTCACAAAAACAGAGAGGAGGAGAGAGTGGAGGGTGGTAAAGACAAAGGGAGGGAGTAAGGGAGGTGACAAAGTAATAAATAGCATGGGTCTGAATGGCCCCAACCTGATCATTCACTTCCACATCTTTTTTTTTTTCTTTCTCTCCAAGGACTTGTTCATGGGTGGTATTTCCTTTAGGATAGACTTGGTGAGAGAGGGGTCTGTAGGTCTAAATTTGACTTTGTGATTGGCTGTGTTCAAAGTTAACCCACAGTAAAATCTAAATTTGGTTCTAGGCGTAACGTACCGTCCTCACCTTTTTTGTATGCGAGCCACACAGCATTTACTGCATGTTTTATATTTTAGTATTTCACAGTATACTGTGTCAATGTAATGTCCATTTGGGATAAATGAAGGCTATACAAATCATGCAGTTAGTTAACGGTACATACAGTATTTATTTAAGCAGAAACAGTGAAACATTAAAGCAATGGTTAAATGATGTGATCATAATGATTACAATATTTGAAAGAGTTGGAAGTATTTTTGTTGGTTCAGAGTTGGCATCATCTGAAGTCCTCACAAGGGGTTGGCCTCATCTCTTCACAGGTGTTGGGGTCATCTAAATCTTCATGATAGGCTGGATCCAAACTAGAGCTGGCATGAACTTTATTTACATCCTGATGTAGAAACAGAAAAGCAAACGGAGAATAAATAATGTAGCTGCTGTTCATAATATTTCAAACAAAAGATAATCATGTTCAGTTGATCTGATAGAACTATAGTACAAGGTTATGAGATGCATTATGTGAAAGCTTGGCTAGACTTGTGCCGGTATTCGGTAATGCGATATATCACAGTAATGAATATGCACGATATTGTTATCGTGGGCACTTCTAAATACCGTGAATTATATATATAATTATATATTACAAATTATTCAGAAATTTGAATGCATTTTAAAAATACTTTTCCCATAAACTGGTCAAAATGCATAACACCGCTGTATGCTGCATGAAAGATGCGTGCGCACTCTGAAATGACAGCACTTTTTTTTTTAACTTAATTTCTATATTGTGATAATACCGTATACCGTAATAAAAGCATTAGCAATTAATCGCAACATGAAAATTTTATACCGGCATATCCCTAAGCTTGGCTAAAGAAATGTGTCTTTAATCTAGATTTAAACCAGGAGAGTGTGTCTGAGCCACAAACATTATCAGGAAGGCTATTGCAGATTTTAGCAGCCAAATGTGAATACGCTCTAGTATTAGTAGTAGTACGTTATTTATCCCCTTGGGGAAATTCTGTTTCAGTGAGCTTCAACATGCGTTTCACAAAAAATAGAAAGACAAAAACATATCAACAAAAACACAAGATGTAAGTGTTAAAAAAACTATCTTTCATTTAAGCATTTCACTGCTCATGGTAAAAAGGATTTCCCCCCCTATATTTAATAAACATTAAACATCCTAAATCTTCGACCTGAAGGCAAAAGTTCAAACTTAACATACAATGGGTGCATATTATCAGATGTAATTTTCATTGCTTTACCTCCTTCCTTGAGGACCTTGATATCCTTGGTACTACCAAAAGTTGAGAGTTTTGTGACCTTAAAGAGCATGATGGATTGTAACATGATAAATACGCAGGAGCTAAACCATATAAGGCCTTATAAGTAAACAATAATACTTTGTAATCAATACTGAACTTGCATTATGCAATACAGTGTGTAATATGCTACCATGAATGATTCAGGATGCTATATATACGTGGATGTCTACAAGTGTTTAAACAAAATTAATAGAAATATGCACAATCAAGGTACAATCAAGGTACAATCAAGGTACAATCAAATATGAGCATTTGATTGTACCAAAGCTTTTTTGGTCATTGTGTAGTCATTTTTTCATAGTAAAGTAGTCATTGTGTAAGGATAGCAGAAATAACTATTAAATGAAACATTGGTAATAATAAACTTAAATGCACAGACTGTGGTCAAATCATATTAGCATACATAATTCAAATTTTTAACTGTTCCTAAAATATGTCCAGGTTCAGTAGTATTTAGTGTTGTTTACTTCGAGATTTTTTTATTTTTTTATTTAGTTAATTAAATATTTATATTTTGTTGAGCAATTTTGGATATTGTGATTACATAATATTAAAATAAATTATACATTTTTAAAACTATAATTTAAAATAATCTAAAAATCTCTTCTCCCTACCACTATATGTACTGTATCAGCAATACTGTTATATTTATCACATATTCTACTGAATACAACCTCAGCTTTTGTGTATTTGTGTTTGAATTGTATCCAACTCAGTGAAATTAATAATTTAATTGACATTAGTAATAACAACTGACATGTCACAGATGTCTGAGGCATTTTTTCAATGGTTAGGCTAAACATTTTTAACATGTTAGTTATCAGTTCTGTCCCCATGCTGAAAATATGCACAGGCTATTTGTTTAAATATGAGAGAAAGCCATTTTAAACACATCATTCTTTGTTTGTAGTTTTCCCAGAATTCTCGCCAGCTTCTCTTCATAGTGAGCCACTACATGACATTTTTAGTGGATGGAGTCTTTCTAGGGGTCAGGAAAAGCATTGCTCTTGGCCTTTCAGTTTCACTGGACTGTATGGATTGTGGCAGTTTAACTACATAGTCTTACTCTTACATCAGTTTCTTAGATTTATTGATGTACTAATAATAATTAAAAAATACTGCATGCTAGAATCTATGTTTTATAGCTTGACTTCCAGCATCGATAGTCAAATAATCTACGGATGAAGTCATAATTAAAACTAAATCTCATTAGGCCGCACATTGTTGTAGTTTATAGATGCCTTACAGCTGTGGATATATGTAAATGCATTGCAGATGTTTAAAACAATATGCCTATACACTGATTACACTCAATGCAACTGGAAAAGATGGCTTGGAATTCAAAGAGGCTTTAGAAATTACCTCCTCACACAGTTTAATAGAACAGGACTCTCCTCAATGGGTTGCTCCGTATCATTTTCTTGCCTGCAGGCAATATCAAATCCCAGACGATCTGCAGTCCACACTTAATGGAAAAGCAAAGCAATGCTTCACACCAGTGTCGATCCACTCTTAGCGTAACACACACTTTCCAATTTTGCAGAATCATATCACTTCACAAAAGAGAAGCCAGAGTAAAGTTTATCTTGGGTGAAGCCTGTGATTTCACTGCCCAGTAGCTGCAGCCTGGACTTAAAATCTGAGGCCATGAGAAGATAGATGGATAATGGAGCAGACAAGAAGATGAGTTTGAGCTCATCTGTGACTTCAGTTTGGATCCTCATAGTAGGCAGTGTTGGAGTTGGAGAATAAATGAAATGGGAAAAAAAAAATAGATGTGCCAGTTGGTTGTTGAGCTTAATTTTGAATTGATGTACTTATTTATACATTTATATTTTAGTATTGTTATGTTTATTTCAAGGTTTTATTTATTTATTTATAACAAAATGCATTTCTCCTTTGAAATTATTATTATTATTTTTTTTTTTTAATTAAATTATTTTCACTGTTTCTTGGAAGAAAAGGCATGTGAAATATGCCTTTTGAGGTTAAAAGTTTAAGAAATCGCACTGAATTGCAGAAATGAATCACCGCACTTAGTACATTGCACAATATTGAAAGAATTACAATAGCTATATTGGGACCTGTGTATCGGAAAGTATTGAAACATGCCATTTCTGGCAAATTCCACTCCTACATGCCTGGCACATCTATAACTTTATATGGTAAAAATCTGTTTCACTGCATGCAAAACGTGTTAAATCACTTCCTTCCACCATGTCTCGTTTTTGATTACTTTGCACGTACGATTTTCATGAAAAACGTCCTGTTTTAAATAATATTGCTTCACTTGTTTCCCATTATATGTGTTAGCTGGCAAAATGGCAAAATCCATATGATCACTTAAAACAAAAATACATTTTTGTTTGTTACTTAAGAACATTTTGAGTTCTTAAAATATATTGCAGTATTTGTGGCATCTGAATAAGCTATTTGTAAGAATCTGATCCATACTGTTCATGATTTAAAGGATTGTAGTGTGCTTCTACTTCATTCAGTAAGACCTCCATGTCAACTACACCATGTGCTACTGGTTAGCAGAACAGCAAGGGACTCTGATAGCATCACTCCCTCCTTCCTTCTGTCTGAAACAACTCTGACTCTTCCATCCTGTTGACAGACTGCCAGAGTCGTGCCAAACTAAGAACACAGTATAAAATGTTGTGCTTTTTCAGGACAGTTCCTTTGAGGTGTGTTTACTTAAGAAATGAAGTCAGTGATCAGATTGAAATATATTTGTAATCAGTGAGGTCATCTTCCATGTCCTCTTTGAAAGTTTGGGTTTTTTATTATTGAATCAAAGAATGCAAACAGGCTAATTTGCAGTGAGGTTAAGACACACACAGCCTGTGATCAAAAGAGATGTGTCTATGAAATTTTACCATCCTCTTATGAATAGAAATCAGTTTCTGAGTTATAACAGTTAAGTCAACAGCTAACATTTCTTATGTGAGTCAGCGCTTGTTGAATTGAGACTTGAATTATTTTGCCTTTTATTTAGGGGTTTTTTAAACCCACGCTACCGTCTGTCCCCTTGCTAATCACTTATTTCCTCCACAGATGTCATGTGGCAAATAAAACATGCCCAGAGAATCACAGCTGGAGCAATCGCTTATGCAGATGTGTGCCACTGCCCGACACCCTTTTTTCAAAACCACATTCTGGTAAGTGCTAATGCACATGTTTACAGCCTTACAATGCTGTGTTTTGCATGTGTGTCTGAGCATGACTGTATGAAAGAGAAACAAACTTATACCACCAATGAGAGAACTTCTTTGCTTTACTAAATTAAGTTTTTGATGAATATTAATTTAATTCATTCAGCAATATTGGAGCATAACTTGGCAGACAATCACCACTACAGAAATATATCCATATACAAGAAAAAAAAAAGTTTGTAGAATTATTATATTAACGGTTTTGGCATGCTGATTTAAATCTGTATTCTCAGATATCATGAGTCACGCTGAAATTATTTGAAGCAGTTTAGTATGTTATGGATAAGTGTGCTTTGCATGTAATCAGTGTTCCTTCAAATTTTTGTTCTTGCTGAGCAAAACCTATTTCTATTGGGCAAATCCGTCGGCCACCTTAGAAGAAACCTAAATTATAACAGACCTCTTCAGTGTTAACTGTGGCATTCTTTACAAAGAAATTCTGTATATCTAATCTAAAGCAGTTCATTTTATTGCTCTTTATTACATTTGACTTTTATGCAGTAACTAAAGCATAAATAAGAACGAATGACTGAATAAATAAATTTGCTTCATTTGCATTTAGAACAGCATATTTATTTATTTAATTATTTATTAAATAGCTATAATTGGTATTATATGCTGTTCTAAATGCAGTAACTAAAGCAGACCTTGGTGTCCACTCTGGAATTAAGGAAATAGTTTGTCATGAAGGCAGAGTGCAATCACAGAGCGAAACTCTGCAATCAACACCCCTGACTACATGTCAACAAAACAAAGCCTACAAAAACACGGTTGAGTTTCTGCAGAGAGGAAAGCTGCCATAATAGCTGCTTTCAGCTTTGTGGCAGTCGTTCAAGCCAAACAAAAACATCCCCAGCAAAGTGTGCTCAGTTAAAATGGGATAATTGCTCATTCTCACCCTTCTATCTGATCTCAGACCTGAGTTCTTGTTCAAGTGGAGCATGATGTAAATCAGGTTCAGTGTGATGGTAGTGACATACTTGTCTTCCTTACGCTTAGTAAATATGACAGGTCAAACCTGATGTGGATACAGCAGTCTGTTGGTTTATGCACACAGCATAAGAATGCATAAGCTGTGCAGTCAGAAGACCCTAAGGCTAAAATATGCATAAATACATAGTGCATGTGTGAGTGCAGATAAAACAGCTGCACTCATATTGGGACACTATATTAAATTTGAAAAGACAGGTTGATTTGGTGTGGATGGTTATGTTGCTTTAGCATGCTGGCCAATTTTGTTGACTGTCATACTGAAATGGAATAATAGATTTGCGTTCAGCTCCACTGTAGCGGTTGGGGAGTGAAACAGGTAAAATGAATCTTTGCTAAAGCAGAAACACTAGGAGGTATGTGTCGGTTGCTTCATGGAAATGTTCCACGTCACCTTTTACTTGCCGCAGTCTGTGACAGAAAAGCTTTATACTGCATACTGTAATAGCACATTATCTTGTGGGTAGGCTTACTTTCACTACTAATACCTAAGCATTATGGACTCACCTCTTTCCAGTTGTGTAATTTCATATGTTCTCTCTCAAACATATAAATGCTCAAATGTAGCACGAGCTTCCTCAGCTTCAGTGGGAGGTTGCATAAGATGAACTGATGCTATACTGATATAAAGGGTAATTCTTTCACCACTAGTACTTTCTCTCTCTGCACCTCCTCCCCAAGTCTGTTCTGTATGTCCTTTGAGGCATATAAACATAGCTGAAATGCTTTGAGAGCAGTTATGTAGCTTGACCATGACAGAGCACCATTGCAAAAACACTGACTGCTGTCAGAGCGTGCAACTTTGGCTGGATTTCGTTTGGTGCTTGTGAAGCAGCATTTTGCAGCATGGAGTTTTTTCTTCTGTGACTGTATTTGTATGGTGTGAATGGATTCTTTTTTTTTTCTTCAGATATGTGGCTTGATTGTTCAAGTGTCAATGATAAATAAGGGTGTCCAAGATAAAGAAAATATTCAAAAAAAAAAAACTTTTATACCATTTTCTGAAGATGTTTACATTTATTGATTTTAAAAGTTTAAAAGTAGGCTAATGGTACATTGCTTACTCTTTGTATAAAATGTAAGTATATTTTTGAAGGTAACAATATATTTACGAAAATTATTATTATTATTATTGCATGTTGTGCCACATGACATCTTATAACAGTTCAGTTCTTTCTTTTTTCATTATGATATAAAACAGTTGTATCATTCAGATATGTTTAACTTTATGCCCCCAACAAAATCTAAATTAATTTTAATAAAAATAAAAAAAAACTACAAATATATTATTCATCAGAAAAAAAAGCATAATCATTGCAAGTATGAAATGCAATTTTTGAAAAATTGTCCCCCAATGATCTTGCACAGAATGCATCTGATCTGCTCGAGTCCAGTGAAGCAAATTATATATCCAACCTCATTTAGCCAATCACCTAATATTCTAATAAAAACCATTTATCCATCTGAATAAAACTGAATAAAAGTGCATCAGAACAACTATCTAAATCCAACACCTGCAGAAATGTGCTCTCAGTGTTTTTCTAACCAATATAAATGCTGACTTGAATCTCAAGTATGGTAAGTGAGGTAAACCCCATATCTCTAATAGGGAATACATTGTGTGAAATCATATATGTGCGCTGAATCCGCAGTGACATATTTAAAAAAAAAAAACTCTGTGTTGTGAAAGAAGTTTTTTTTAAATGTGGTTTTTCCAACAAAACCAGACCAGTATGGTACCTTTCCAGTGAAAACCAAATATAGTTTTTTATTTACCGTAACTGAGCGGTTTCCCAAGGGAAATGTCTGGAAAAGGCAACAGCAAACCACACTACAAAAATACCATTGACACGCCATGAATGTGACAACAACTTAAAGTTAAAATCATTCTGGTTAAAAATAATATAACATTTTGTGTATTTTTCGAGGTTCTCTGCATATATGTATAGCAACAACATGCTAACAAAAAGTTTATATGGCTGTTTATAAACTCCTTCTACATAACTTCGATTCTTCATAATATGGCCACGATTAGCTTAATCATTAGAAAACACAAACACTTGTGACAGGAATTCACTTTCTCTCTTCAGCCAAGTTCTTAGGCCATTTTGTACACTCCAAAACAAAGGAAGAAATATACTGTAGTAGAGTTGAATTAGCCACCGAATGTAATGTTTTCATCAAGCTGTAAAGAAAAACATCTGTTTAGGCCTTTGGGGGTATCATAAGGAATGCTGGGTAGAAAGCTTGTATTGCTAAACGGTTTATCATGTCTGACAAATGTGCATGCTGGACATTGTTCTTTACTTGTGTAACGCTCTGGGAATCAGCCAGGCATTCCATAGCATTGACAAAAGATTTCCTCACAAATGTAAAAATAAGTCAACATAAAATAAGGACTTCTTTATTTCTCTTTTTCTCTCCATCTGCAGACATTGATCAAGACTTCTGTGGCCCCGTCAAAGAGCTGGACGAGGAGACTTGTCAGTGTGTTTGCCGAAAAGAGCTGCGAACAGCAGGCTGTGGACCGCACCGCTACCTGGACAAGAACACCTGTCAGTGTGTGTGTAAAGCAAAGCCCTCTTCCTGCAGGCCTCAACAGAGCTTCAACAAAGACACCTGCCAGTGCACCTGCGCCAAGGTGTGTCCCAGTAGTCAGCCTCTCAACCGCACCAAATGTGTGTGTGAATGCACAGAGTCCCCTAACAAGTGCTTCTTAAAAGGAAGGCGGTTCCACCCGGCCACGTGCAGGTGAGAAAAGAGTTTGCTGTTATTTGTCAGATGTAAAATGATTGTCCTTTCAGATACTGAGAGAGTGTCATGCCAGCCTGCCAATGGAGGGACAAGATGTCCCAAACTGACACCATTGGTTGAGTCCATGTTGCTGTGTTGCTGGTTCTGCCCCACTTTACTATATACATGATGTTGACAGGGCAGCCATTACAATTCCTTTTAATTTTAGTTATCATTTTGATATTTTAATTTAATTTAAATGTAATTTACTCAAATCATTTCCCATTCTTATTTGATTATATCTCCAAAAATGCATGCACTGTTATATGTGGAATATACAGAAAGCAGGGAGGGAAAATAAATGCTTGGTTTCCTAAACAGTATTGGTTTAAACCTTAGCTAAATGTTTCATATGACATGGCTTTTCATGCTCTTTCCCTCTCTGACCTGTGCAACTGATACAAAAAAACTCAATTTCTATTAGTTTCAGTTTCTCAACCCCAAGGCCCTGTACCATTACCTCATTTTAAGGTGATTTATGCTTTATGTAGCAGCATAGGACAGCAGGAGTCGAGTGCCTCTGGTAGAGCCTATACAACACTTTACAATAAGGTCTAATTTATTAGCATTATTTAATGTATTTTCTAACATGAACTAACAATAAGCAATTATTTTTTTACAGCATTTATTCATCTGTGTTTATGTAAAACAATAAATGTACAGCTGTTCATTGTTCATGTTAGTTTAGTGTATTAAGTAATGTTACAGATGCAAAATTTGATTTTAAAAATTTATTATTAAATGTTGAAATTAACATTAAGGTTATTAAATGCTGTAGAAGTATTGTTCATTGTTAGTTCATGTTAACTAATATATATATAAAAAAAAAAAAAAGATTCCTTATTTTCAAATATTACAATTTGTGGAAATGTGTTAGGAAATGTTTATTTTTCCCATATTGTCTCACAATACAGTTTATATTAATTCACAGCCTCTGTTGTCAAAGTGTCAGAGAATTACAGTATATTTCCATCAGTTCCATCATTTTATTATTTTAAAAATATATTCTCTTATTATTTTTTCACATTGATCAACTTTATATAAGTAATACTGTGAATGGTGTTGATTTTTAGTATTTTAATAGTTCTTTACAAAATGCTGCACTTAAATGCTACAGTGATGATATCAGATAGTAATACCTATTATTTCCCCTCTCTTTTTCTTAGTTGTGTCAGGCCGCCATGTAACATGGACCCCAAGAAAAGAGGATGTAACGATAATGAGTATTTCAGTGAAGAACTGTGTCGCTGTATACCCACATACTGGGGGAGACTGAACTAAACACAACTAAGCGCAGGTGGCGCTGAATGCTAACGGACACGCTGGCATTTAGAGCAGTGCTGTGTTTGGCTGCTGCTTATCTGACTCACATGTGCTTGTCATGTGGACTAGCGTCGAGTAACGGGAGACAAGAAATGTCCACATTTAACCCCACATATCAAACATGGGGTGAGCTATCAAGGACCGAGAGAGATTTCTAAAGGCTGGAGCCATGTTTTTTCATTGTTTTAATTGAATTGTCTATTCGTATTTGTCAGATAATGATTATATAATTTATTGCCATGAAATGTTTTGAAACACCCTGGTTCATAGCATTCATTTCTAATCTCTGCGAAGAAAAATACACTGTGATCAATATTTTTGTATCATGTTAAGTCCCGTAAAATAAAGTATAAAGTTGTATTATATATTGTTAACTTATTTATAAGCTGGACTATCTTATTGAAATAATACTGCACATGATTCAAATGTATTCAGTTTTGACTACCAAATGTATGCACCTATCATTCCAGATGAAATTCTATCAAACTGACAGCGCAAGCCGGCAAAGACGTGTTTTTTGTGCTGGAAGCATTGCTTGTTGACAATCTAAGACCATTACGCAAGTCACCCACCAATATCGAAGACTTTGAAGAGGGAAATACAGCACAATAACCTGGATACGGACTATTTAAAAACCGGTGCTACATGTATGCAGTTCGATACAAGTTACATCGGTGACAATGTACACTTGGATTAATGGATTCCACTTACGTCGCATCCAACCTGCCTCCTTAAAAGCAGTATAAAGTGGAGAAAGTGGTGTATGAATGACCTCAAGGTTGGAGATCAGTGGTCTTTAAGACTTTTGACCTCAGTGGATGTGTACATAGGAGCAATGTGATTGGCCCAACTCCACTTGGTATCCGCCCACAGTTTCAGCTTGACATTGTAAATATAATAAATCACCTCTGCTTCCATCCCAGTCCTTGTGTCTGTGTCTGCCAAAAGTGTGCGTGTGATTTTTCACTGTTACTCATTCCATAGAACCCCCCTGTAGCTCCATAATGAAACCATAATCTTCAGCCATCGGGTGGGAAGGATCAAAAACAAGCTGTGGAGCTAAATCCAGCACATCCTTTGTCTTCAAGCATATTCATACAGCAGGTGGCCTCCTTCCCTTGTGTTGTAACCTAAGCCATATATATATATATATATATATATATATATATATACAGTGGGTACGGAAAGTATTCAGACCCTGATTTTTCACTGTTACTCATTCCATAGAACCCCCCTGTAGCTCCATAATGAAACCATAATCTTCAGCCATCGGGTGGGAAGGATCAAAAACAAGCTGTGGAGCTAAATCCAGCACATCCTTTGTCTTCAAGCATATTCATACAGCAGGTGGCCTCCTTCCCTTGTGTTGTAACCTAAGCCATATATATATATATATATATATGCACTCATATCACCTCTTCTCCTTTTCTGCAAGGCTTTTTAGATCTAAGGTCGCATCACTTTTGCATCTGAACTATATTACCTCTTCCTTCTCTAACACTGCATTCTCTGACATGCTACCATGGAGTTTATGCTGTAAAATTGTGCACCATTTATCTGTTTCCAGCTGAAATGAGGATTTCCCTGTAACCTGGATTGCAACAGTTTGTACCATAGCCAACTGCATCTGCTGCACAATCCCAAGAAAGACCTGATAAAAATAACATGTGTGCGCTCACAGTGAATCACCGTGAAATAACTAGAAACAGCCGCCCAGTCAGTGGATATGAGTATTTGAGAAGCCATGTCTAGCCTGATTTTCCCCCTCTGCTTTGGCTTGCTTACCTTGTTCGTAGTGGTGAATGAGGGTGAGGTTTACATTTCAACATGTAGCCAACATTGGGTTTTCGTCTGGTGCTTATATATTCCAATGAACTAGAAACGAAAACAAGTATGGACATGTAAATAAATGAGTGGCTTGTTCTGTTCATTTAAAGGACTAGAGTTTCAGACGTCCCAGCAAGCATGTTTATACAACATAAACAAAAATAAGCGGCGACCGAAATGCAGCACAACAATGATTTTATGGAGATCTGCGGAGTAACGTAAATTTGATTATGCGTAGAAAAACTTGTGGTAGCCAGAACATGTCAATAAGCAGAAATATGTTATGTTGCTAAAGAAATATCTTTTCCCGTGTGTGGTCCTGGGAACCTCAGCTAGAGGTCATCAAGTAAATCCTCAAGTCCATAAAAGCTATAATTTCTGCCTGCATTTTACACCTGAACGGCTCCAGTATCATACACCTGGCATCATTTGGGTGTCTGCTGCATTGCCAGGTTTTGCATTGCAGTTGAGATTACTCTGCTGTGTTGGCCTATTACAAACTGGGTGCTATGTAACTTAACTCACCTGTGCATGATTTTAATATGGATTCAGATGTACAAAATTAAGCTGCAGGTGGTTAGGGATATTATTGCCTACAGGTACATTATCCACACATGACACCAACAGGCCTGCATTGTTTGCATGTACCTTGAGGGAAAATGCAGAGTTTATTTTCAGAGCTGATTGTGGAATCTGTTTGTGGTATTACTACGGGTCTGGCAATCAACTGAGTCCTGTCCTCATTTGTCTAAATGTCCAACCTGTGAATTTATGCTTTACATCACTTACAAAACTCCAGTTGTCAAGTTTATGTTCAGTATATTATAACAGTTGATAAAAACAACAATAATCCACAAGTAATCCACACGATTCCAGTCCATTAAATTGCGGTGTGTGAAGCAAAAAACTGCATGTTTTAAATAAACAAATCCATAATTAAGGCGTTTTAACTAGAACCAATCACATCTGGCCACAATGATAAGTTGTGTATGGTATATGAGTGAAAGTTTTATTTTACCCTGCATTTTTTTTATATTTTTTTTATTTTACATATATGTTACCCCGGACCACAAAACCAGTCATAAGGGTATTTTTTTTTAATTAAGATTTATACATCTGAAAGCTGAATAAATGTTTCCCATTGATTTTATTTTACATATATGTTACCCCGGACCACAAAACCAGTCATAAGGGTATTTTTTTTTTATTAAGATTTATACATCTGAAAGCTGAATAAATGTTTCCCATTGATGTATAGTTTGTTTAATATGACAATATTTGGTCGAGATACAACTATTTGAAAATCTGGAATCTGAGGGTGCAAAAAAATCTAAATATTGAGAAAATCACCTTCAAATGATGTCCTTAGCAATGCATATTACTAATCAACAATTAAGGATTTGTTTGGATAGGCCAATATTTGGCCGAGATACAGCTATTTGAAAATCTGGAATCTGAGGGTGCAAAAAAATCTAAATATTGAGAAAATCGCCTTTAAAGTTGTCCAAATGAAGTTCTTAACAATGCATATTACTAATCAAAAATTAAGTTTTGATATATTTACAGTAGGAAATTTATCAAATATCTTCATGGAACATGATCTTTACTTAATATCCTAATGATTTTTGGTATAAAAGAAAAATCGATAATTTTGACTCATGCAATGTATTGTTGGCTATTGCTAGAAATATACCCGTGCGTCATACAACTGGTTTTGTGGTCCAGGGTCACAAATGTAGGCTATATTTTATCATTTATGTATAAATTAAGACAGCATATAGCAATGCTTGTATATCATGAAAAATATATCTGCAACATTTGGGTATGTTACTTTTTGAGTATTAAAAGTGAAACCTTAAAATTAACCTTTACTGAACATTCTTTATATGTTCTTTACACACCCACACACACACACACACACACACACACACACAACTTCCATTCAATGTTAGTTTAGAGCTATAAACAGTAAAACCTACAAATAACATTCCCGAAACGGTAGAAGTTGGTGTTCCAAAGACATAATTAAAGGATAACCATATACTAACATTAAAGGATTGTTCTGTATTTGTTGGGTGTGCTCTTCAAATGATTGAGACAAGGAATGACACTTCTCAATGTCCCTGACAGACCCAAGAGCAAATACACAGAGGCAGAACATGGAATGACTGACTGATTGGCCCGGAAAACAGACCCCATTTCTTTCTTTTCTCTCAGAGGCTATAAATCATAGAAATTTCCGACTGAGTTTCTGAGGGGTCACCGTTTTTGGCCTTTTGGCTGCTTTTATGGATCCGGCAGCACTGGGATTCATGGTTGTCCTGCTGTCACTCAAAGTTGCGTGTTACTAAGTACAGTCATATGAAACAGTCCATATTATAGTACAATAAGCCTGGTCAACCTGACCTACAGGATGCAAATACTTCCATAGCACCTCACCCTCTTCCTGCCCAGCTAGTCGAGCCAGAGCGCCCCCTCCTACATATTCCTCCTTGCCTGAAACCACCAAACCGCCACAATAAACACACAAGTGTAAGAAGGTAAACACCTCACAACCACTCCTCCGCTAAAAGATTAAGACTTCCTCTAAATTACGCCCAGTGCTGGAGTAGCTCACGAAGGAAAAAGGAAGACGTCGCCTTTTTCCCACATCTCTGCCTTTCAGTGAATCAATCAGTCACAGGCCGACCCCAACACACAGTATCCCACACAAGTTTCAGGATGATGGCTGTGGTCTAAATGTTCATCTCTTGAAAATGACAGAAGCTTCTGGGTGAAGAAAAATGAGCTGTCTGTACTAAACAGTGCCCAACTTCATCTCCTTAGCGAGTCGGTCTGGCATGAATTCCGCTGAGGCCTTGCTGACAAGAGAGGCCAGAATAAGCATCAGTGTGCCCTGATGGGCCTGTTTTTTTTAACGTGTGGGAAAAGGAAACCATTAAGTGATTATGAAAAATTAATCGAAAGGACAAGAAAGAGAGGATGTGGATACTGGCAAGTCGGGAGGGTGTTTTTCCTTTCAACAATTAAAGCCACCACATGTGCGTCTGTGAAGAAACAGCTAGGGGTCAAAAGACGCCCTGTTATAGACACAGACATCTCAGAATCCATCTATCTGTCTCGGTACTTTTTCTATAGCATGTCATTTAAACTTAAACATGACATTCCTTCTTTTTGGAGAGCCTAAAATAGTTATAATCTATCAAGATAAGCTTTCAAAGCAGATGCCATTTCAACCCATTAGGTCTGTGATACTTTGGAAAATATGGCCCAGAATAAACAAGTGTACATTAAGATCCAATAGATATATTAAGCTTATATCAAATACAGGAGTTTTAGCACATCTTCGTTCAATTCAAGGAGAATAAGGATGGAACAAAACTAGAAATAAAAGCACATTTTACACTGGTGGTCTAAACCAATCCAATCCAAACATCAGATTAAAACAACAGAAAATAAAAACAATGGTCACATTTGGACAGAAATATCAATGACCAGTTCAGCCTGCAACAAGATCTACAATCTGATATTTTGACAATCGGTAGGAAAGTAAACTTCAAATTGGTCTAATTTCACACTATGATAGCTGAAGCCTCAGTTTAATGTTGTCTTGTTTTTACAGTCATGCCGATTATTTCCTTTGGCTGCATTAGAATGTTTTGGTTTGATCGATTTTTAATTTTACAACTTGTGCTCTTCCATGAATAAAGACTGTGAGTAATATTTGAGAAAATAAATTCTCTTTTTTCATTCTCTGAGAATAGTTGATTTATTAATGGTTATTATTATTTCATATTGTCCTATAATTAGTTCAAGCAGTGTAGTTCTCATTCACACATATGCTATCCAGTTGATCCTTTTCTGGAGATTTACTCTCTAAAATGGTGTTTGTAAAAACAAATAAAAAATGTAATGGCATGCATCATTTCAGTATATACATGTAATAAAAGAGTGCTTTCTGCTGGTTCAGGCTGCCTCAAAATTGGTTGAAATAACATGTTTATTCAATAAAAACCACAGCTAAGCAAGTCCAGCTTGTCACAGCTTCAGCGTGTTTGTTCTTGAGATCACTGGATCTTTTAAAACCAC